TGCCTAAAGGTACCCAGAAGTAGATTCCATTCACATGGTGCTCTTTTCAAACAGACCTTGTTCCTCAAACCGAATTTTTATAGCAATGCTCACACTGTGCTCCCCCCACACCAGAAATAGAGACTTGCCTGCAATTGCCAGAGTCTTCTGACACCTAGCACCCCCAGGCTCAGATTGCAGCTGGACATGTTGCAAAAGGAACCATGACTGATGCTAGAAAACAGACTATTTCATCTGTACCTAATTACCATAATCAGTTGTGTATAAACAAATAAATATTCCCAACAGAAATACCAAGACTTACACTTTCTGGGAAAGAACACTTAGTTGATTTTGTTCAAGTGATATATGAAATGGGTCGGAGATAGGGTCAGGAAGAAGGGAATTCAGGGTGGCAACAGTGGAAAAAAAACAACAACACATAAATGATAAAGAGCTTGATGTGTTCAGGGAAAAGTAAGCCTACGTGGCTGGACAGAAGAGTTCAAATGCGTGTTGGAGGTGGCAGTGGTTGAGGAGAGGGAAACATGAGTAAGGGAGAGTAAGAGATATAACTAAGGAGAAGACTTTGGAACTGGGTTTTAAAAGGTCTTGTATGACATGTTAAGTAGTTTAGACCTAGTCACAGAAGCCTCAAATTAGATGCATGGTTCAGATTCTAAAATTCAGAAGATAACAATATGAAGCCATAGTATTATAGATTAGATTGAAGGGGGATATATTGGAGGAAGCAGTGACTGAAGATAAGGAGGGATATTGTGAAGCTAATTGCAAACACGTTCATAGGGGATGAACAAAGACTGTGGCAGTACTGATGAATGTTCCTAACTGACAGAAATGACTCCCTAATCTCACTTGGCATTCAAGGCCTTTCATAATCTGGTTCCAATCTTTTGTGTAATCCCAATTTGTCCCTGTGCAAATCCCGAATCCCAGCAATACTGATTGGCTCTTTCCCCCAAATACATAAAATGTTCTGCCTACATACTGTTCCTTCTACCTAGAATTCCCCTGGTCCTGCCCACCTAAAGCCCAACTTAATTACCACCTCTTGATTTATTTCTCTCTCACCTGTTATAGCATTTTATTCATATCCTCAATATCTTCTACATGTTTTGTATTCTTGCTTGCATTACGTTCCTTATTTTATATTCTGTCCACTAAGTCTCCCCAAGTGCCTGGTACCTAACAAGTATCTGTTATGAACTGAACTGTGTCCCCCCAACAGCAAATTCATATATTGAAGCCCTAACCCCCAACAGGACTATATTTGGAGATAGAGCCTATAGGGAGGTAATTAAGGTTAAATGAGGTCATAAGGTTGGAGCCCTAATCCTACAGAACTGGTGTCCTTATAAGAGGAAGAGACACCAGACATCTCTCTCCCACACCCTGGGCACAAAGAGGCCATATGAGAACACAGGAATGAGGCTGCAACATGCAAGCCAGAAAGAGATGGTGAACCAGAAACCAACTCTGACTGGACTTTGCTCTTGCACTTTGAGCCTCTGGAACTGTGAAAAAATGAATTTGTTGTTTAAACCACCCACTCTGTGGAATTTGTTATGGCAGCCCTAGCAGACTAATACAATATCCAATAAATTCTTGCTAAATGAGTTGTTCAAATGGAATCCTAGACACTCTATTTTAAACATTCTTTTCTGGATTTTATTTCATTTTAGAAACAGTATATTTTCCAGGAGTGTTAAGTCCAACTTTTACAATGGAAAAATAAGAATTGCAAAAACTTAAAATACTTTCAAAACTCTTAAGCTTTAAAACATGCACCTACTTGGAAAAAAATCAGGACAGTAGTTGTAAGAGGGGAGGAGGAAGGATATATGGGCAGGCACTGACTGGGAAGGGGCATGAGAAACTTTTGGAGGTGGCAGTATTATTCTCTATGTTGGTAGAGGTTTGTACTGCAGGTATAGGTAAATGTCAAAAGAATGGTATGCTTAAGATTAGTGCATTTCACCGCATACAAATTTTACAGAATGAAAGTGAACAAATATTCAATTATAGTTAATGACATGAATAGTGACACGTTCAGGAGTGAATATGGATTTGCAACCTATTTTGAAATGCATCAAAAAAATAAAAAGGGGGGCGGCCCATGGTGGCTCAGTTGGTTAAGCGTCTGCCTTGGGCTTGGGTTGTGATCCTAGGGTCCTAGGATCTAGTCCCGCATCAGGCGCCCTGCTCCATGGGGAGCCTGCTTCTCCCTCTGCCTTTACCTCTGTCTCTCATGAATAAAATCTTTAAAAATAATAATAAAATAAAATAAATAAGATAAAAAGGCAGGGGCGCCTCAGTGGCTCAGTCAGCTAAGCCTCTGCCTATGGCTCAGGTCATGATCCCAGGGGCCTGGGACTAAGTCCCCCATCGGGCTCCCTGCTCAGCGGGGAGTCTGCTTTTCCCTCTTCTCCTACCCCCTGCTCGTGGGTTCTCTCTCTTTCAAATAAATAAATAAAATCTTAAAAAAAAAAAAGGTGAATTGATGACTATATTGAGATGGATATGTGATACAGTAAATACAGCAAATCACTGATTACAGAATCTAGATATACATAAGTGTTCATTGTAAGATTCTTTCGACTTTTCTATAGTGTTTGAACATTTTCACAATAAAATTCTAAAGTACCTAAATCTTTATAATAAAAGTACATGATTTCGTGTTTCTCTTCCACAGTATTCAGTGCACTGCTTTTCACATTTAGGGTACTTACATACAAAATGTAATGGTTTCATAGCTTTAAAAAATATTAACTTTAATTGATAATCTGTGAGTATGTCAGTTAACCACAGCTTATAATTTTACCCAATTCATCTAAACCTAAATGTTATACTAAATTTTTACGTTTTACAGCTCCTTCACTTATGTTCATATGTGACTGACATAGTTGGAGCAAATGTTCTTATAATTTAGAATGGGGTTAAATGATCTGTCAAGGCAGCTATGGAAAACCAAATCTGACTTTTAACCCAAGGTATTCTCCATTATAAACCACACACTTGGAAAAGCCCTAGGAAAACTATCTAAAAACTTTCCCCATTTCACTAATGAAACTCATTTTATGATCTTTTTATTTACATTTTTCTGTGAATGGAATGGTTCTGCAAAGAGGGTTTAGCTTTTGCCCCCCTTACATCTTATGTGACTTCCAAAAGAAAAATACGAGTGTTTTTTAAGCACTGTTGGGTATTTTAACAGAGATCCTTTGAAATTTAGTTTGAGAGGGGCGCCTGGATGGCTCAGTTGGTTAAGTGTCCGACTCTTGATTTTGGCTCAGATCATGATCTCAGGGTAGGGGGATCAAGCTCCCCCACTGGCCAAAGCTCGTACTCAGTGCATAATCTGTTTATCCCTCTCCCTCCGCTTCTCCCCCGACTTGCGCACAATCTCTCTCTCTCAAATAAATAAAATCTTAAAATTCAGTTTTAGAGATTCAAATAATTATAGAGATGGAAGCAGTTTTAAATGTTACCTAACATAATCTTATTTTACAGATTCAAAAGTTTATTCCTAAGTGTTAAGCAATTAGCTCAAGTTTCCAAAGCTGTTAAAGGCAGAAGCAGTATTAGAACCCAGATCATCTAACTCCCTAACCAGGGCTCATTCTAATAAACCTTAAAGCTATCACTGCTCAGTTATCTGAGCTCATTAACTCAAGTCATAGTACTAATGTGAAAGACCAAGGCCATAAACGGGCCTGTTAACTTAAATATTCCGCATCCTTTATTTTCTAATGGTCTTTTTCCATCTTATTTAAGATTTCTAAAAGTATCTGTATTTGTCAGGCACTTTGATCACATTTGAAGTCGGCTGCTGTTGTGCTGATCTAATCTGAGGAGCAGCTGAAGGGTGAAGAGGGTACAAGTAATGGTGGAAAGACCCCACATAAATTTCTCTGGCCAAATATTTGTCAAATAATTCAGTCTGTTGAGGTTATCTTCAAGAATACCACTCCCGGGCGCCTGGGTGGCTCAGTTGGTTAAGCGACTGCCTTCGGCTCAGGTCATGATCCTGGAGTCCCGGGATCGAGTCCCGCATCGGGCTCCCTGCTCGGCGGGGAGCCTGCTTCTCCCTCTGACCCTCCCCCCTCTCATGTGCTCTCTCTCTCTCATTCTCTCTGTCTCAAATAAATAAATAAAATCTTTAAAAAAAAAAAAAAGAATACCACTCCCTACAAAATGGCTCATAGCACAAAACTTCCTACAGATAGGTCAGTGACACTTGAAATTATTTTTCATTATCTTTGATTAAACATACATTTATAAGGTCATGATTTTTTAAATTCAAGTCTTTAGACAGCACGTTTATGCCTACATTGGAACAGATAACTCTCATAGCAACTTAGTTAGAATCCAGACCCCTGTTCTTTAATTTATAGCTTGGTATTAGCCCTAGACCTCTAGAATTTGAATATATAAAAGATACGGCCTTTTTCTTAAATGTTGCATTTCCTCTAATTGTTAGGTAGGCAGAAGCACCACAGCAGGTACTAAAATCAATCGCCCCTCCAAGGCTCCAAACGTTCTGCCCCACCAAAATAGTAAAACTTTTACTAAGTTTTGTATTGTTTTGTTTTATCAAGCAAATAAGTTCTCCTTCACTTTCCTCTCTTCTACGAATGCTCAACTTAAAGTAGGAGGGGGACCGCAGAAGCTAAGAATTGCGTTCAGGGGGTGGCTTAAAAGGTTGTTACAATCCCTACCATCCGGCCCAAGCTCGGTTTTACCACCTCGGAACCACCCGGAGTTTCCCCGGGCGGTTACTCAAGGTCTGGGCACCGCAGAGAAAACCATGATCCCCACGGAGCTGCCTCGCTCTCTACGGCCAAGCCCGCGCCCCCATGACCTCCAATGGCTGGAAAAAGGAGCCTTGAACTGCCCGCTTCTTCCACAACTGGTCCGCACTCCCTCCCAGGCCACAGCAGGGAACACGGTACGGGGACAAAAGGAGGGACACTCCTGCCACATGAGGAAAACCCCATCACCTGGAACTCGGCGAACTCCTCACAGTTCACACTGCCACTGGGCGCCGCCATATTGGACAAACGCGAGGCCCCAGCCGCGAGCCAATCACCACGGAGCAAAGGTGTCCGCGTCGCCGCCTAACAAAATTTATTCCGAAGGCAATCAGCTAGGAACCTAAACTAAACTAAGGTTTGTCTTTTCCCTGGTCCTCAAATACACCCAAACCTGTAAACTTGCTATCCTTCTTTTCGCTTCTACCGCTTTAACACGGCTTCCTGGAACGGCCGGCCTAGATGATCGGAGAATATTAGAATTTGAAGGGATCGTTTTACTCCAATCTCATTTTCTGTTTTCCTTTTACACAAAGGGAAACGGTTTGTTGGTCGCAGCAACCCTGTCGTTCGAGTAGGAAATCTAGAGTACAAGTGAGGTTTTTCTTAACCCTCCCACTTCATTATTTACCTCCCGTCCCTTGAGCAGAGGGGCCTTTGTTCGTTAAGAATTTGGGACTACTAAGAAACGTTTTTAAAAGAAGACTACTGACAGTGTGGGGTAAGGGTTGAATAAGGTGTTCAGGTGTGGAAATAAAATGTTTGGTTTTATAAAAATAGGCAAATCAAAGAAATAGGAAGCATACGTGTGAATTTCTCAGGTAGGCTGAGAAATACTCTCAAAGGCAGTAAGACGTGGGGTCGATCAGTTACTAGGAGCCCAGTTGTGTGTTCTTGGTTTTTGGTAGAGGGATATATATATATATATATATATATATATATATATATATATATATATTCATTGGAAATGCTGGAAAAACAGTACTGAAATACTGGTTTATCTAGGCAGTGTGATTTCAGGTTCTACAGTTCACAAAAGTCCTACAGTGAGCACATTTCTATTTTAAAGGGTACTTTCTTAGACGCAGGGAATGACTGCAAAGGCCCGTGACACCCAGCTCCCACAAACACATTGTTAAAGACACGTCCAGGCATTGTGCGGGGCTGAACCGGGCTCACCGCCCGTACAGTCTGCACGTCACGCACGTCCCACACGCTCCGCGCGTTATGCAGGCCCCGCCCACACGCCCCGCGCAACACGCACGACCCGCTCGGTCCGCCCTCAAGTAGCCCTAGTCCTGCCTGCCTGCGCCGTCCGCCTCTTTCCTATTGCGGGCGTTTGGTAACATTGAGTGCTCCCGCGCTGTCACCGCCCGGGAGGCGCTGTCGGGTCAGCGGAGTAGGCAGCCATGGGGAGCCTGCGCGGCCTGCGCCAGGCGGCGGGTGAGACGCGGGCCGGGCTCGGGGAGGTTGGGAAGCCAGCTTGGCTGCTGGAGATTGAGGAATCCTGCAGCTTCCCCAAATCTGGTAGTTGCTCGGTTTCATCGCGCACTCTTAAGTGGCTCGTAGTCATACCCCGATAATGGGAAAGAGCAAAGGCTGAGCGAGCAACTGCTAAGCAGGTGGTGGGGGTTGGCCCAGAGTGACCATCGCGCCTGGCCCTCCATCCACCCAGCTCCCACCAACTTAACGAGCCCTTCCTTGCTCCCCGATCCTTATCAACCCACCCCCATCCCCAGTGGCCTCTGAATTCAGTTCTTAATGCACCTGCCATCCCTAGAACTTCCCCGTTGTCTGATTGATTCAGCTTTTCACCCTAACCTCTCCGGTCCGTAGCTCTCCTTGAGTCTTGAGTCTCCCCAGCCCCCAACATCTCAAGAGTTTATCCCGGCTCTCAGAGAAAACCTTTAGTCTAGGGTTTCCTACCCACTTAGTGTCTGATTAGGAAAGGGATTTAAGGGCTTACAGAATAATAGTTATTGTTTTCCTAAAATGGGGGATACATTTCTTTTAAACAATTCTACGGTTAAGTGCTTTGAATTTTTTGGAGGAAAGTGTTACGTAGAATCTGCAGTTTATTTTTCTAGTAGACATTTGTGTAATGGGTATTTGGAGTCAAAACTTAATTTGTCTTCGTCTTCTTGGGGAACCAACAGAGCTTAGTAGGGGCTGAGAAATCAAAATGTTTGCCGCTTGGCTTTTTTCTAGGCACCAGGGCAAATCACTTTTGATCACCTTTATGAGCTTTGATAAGGTGTAATGACTGATCTTTTATTCCTTTGTAGCAAATTATTAAAGAGTTGTTTATTTCAAATTTTAAAGGAAGAATCGCCCCAAACTTGCCTGTTGAAATAATGTAAATGTGCATTGCAAATGTAAATGAAGTAATGTAAGAAAAAGTTATCTTTTATATTCTTATTTTGTGTTCCAATGGAGAATGGACTGGAAAACATGTCTCAAACAGAAGAATATTATATACTTCCTTTAAAATAAACATTCCCTCCACTAAAAAAGATTGATTTCATTGATTTGTTCAGCTTTGTTGGACTAATTTACCTAAAGTCTTTTGTGTACATCCTTTGACCTGTTAGCTGTTACAAGGTAAGTGAAAGAATCATTGCTCTGGAAAAAGCTAAAATGGACTGACTGAAAGGGACTTTGACTACATAGGAACTAAGACCCTAGGGTTTTAAGTAGTTTATCTTCCTGCCTTGAAAACATATTTATGCATTATAAAGATTCCAAAGCCTCTTTGCAGACTTTTGATATTTAAGAACCTCACTATTGACCACTCAATCAAAATTCCTTGAGCATTTTAAGAACAATTTATTTTATTCCAGATAGATCCACTAAGAATGTTACATGATGAACTCTTTCCAAAGACCTTCTTTGAATGTTTGATGTTTTGTGAGCAACTGTAAGCAATTTGCCCTTTCACCCACTTGTGTCTATTTTAAAGCTTAATACTTTGACATATGTTATTTTACTTGATTGATTTCTTATAGTACCCTTCGTAGGTAAGTCTTATCATCCATTCTCCAATGTACAAGTGAATAAACATAGGTCAGATGGTTAAATGACTTGTTTAAGATCATTTAGCCATAAAATGTTAGAGCCAGGAAATGAGTGAGTGCCTGCTAGTTCAGGAACTTGTGCCCTTTGTTTCATTCAAGATGCTTATTCAGGAATATGTGTGTACTGTGTTTGTCATGGTTAATTGAGTTTGATGTGAAATGGAAGAGTCATGAAATGCAGATATACTTGTGAAATGGAAGCACATATTTATGTGCAAATGGATTTCCAAGTAAGAAGACTGATTTATCAGGCAACCTTAACCAAAGGAATCGCAGATCAAATAGAAACCTAATCTAGGCATGCTTCATTTATCCAGAATATTATTTGGAATAAGATACTCTAGGTGAGTGAAATTTCAAATAGCCAAAGCTTAATCCTTTAAACGATGGACCTTTTTTGAATTATTTCTGTTGGATATCTTTGCTGTACTTTCTTAGCAAACAGAATGTAGGTTTTTAAATTTATCATTTTGCAGATGTAGCTGGAGATATAGGTCAAAGTTGTTAACTTGTGGTTCTTGGACCCCTTCACAGATGAGTGGTCCTGTGAACCTCTGAAATTATATTCATATTTTTATGTTTTGGGAAGAGAGGATCTATAGCTTGTGGACCATGGACAGCATCCTTGTCAGTTTAACTGACATTCCACAGCATTAGAATCAAGAGATAAGGTAGAAGTCATGTAGTCTAGCCCCCTAATTTTATAGATGAGGAAACTTAAGGCCTCAGAGGGAAATTGACTTGACCTCAGAAGAGTCCTACGTACAAAACTGGGACATAACCAATATCTCCTGGCTCCCATTCTGATTTTCTTTCCCCTACGTTCTGCTCCTTCATTGTCATTTCTGTTTGTTTTTGCTAACCAACCCTAAATGAGTACATGCCCATTTTTCCTGCTCCTTGGCTTTGCTTATCACTCCCTCCAGGGCTTGTCAGCAGGTCTTTATTGAGCACACACTGTGTGCCCTGTACAGGATGAAAGCTCTAAAGTGTGTGGACTCCCACTTTCCCTAGGGCTGGAGTTTGTTGCAGTGAACGAATATACCTATATAATACATCTGGAGAGCTTTGCAAGACAGTATATATTAAGTTCTGGATTGCAGAACAGACTTTAAGTGCTGCCGTGGTGCTATGGAGCCAGTTCCTATTGGCTTTGTGCACATCTTTTCCCAATTAGTCACGTTACATTGGTAGCTTAAAATCTGCCACGCTGAGGGTTATTGAAAAACACTACAAATCAGGGCTTTTCCTCACTGATCTCCTCCCAAGACCCAACATACCACTGGCTTTAACAAAGGAATCAAAGTGTAGGTTAAAATTACTGAAGGCTTCGTTGCAACAGAAGGTCTGGGAGAGAGACAGGAGCAAAAGTAGGGGCAGTAATGGGTCTGGAGAGGATGTGGAAGGAGGAAGATTACCTTGGATTTCAGTCAGGAAGTAATAGATACGGTGTGGCCTTTTGAGGGTTTTGGACCACTTGAATTTGGGCAAAAAGGAAGCCTTCCAGCAGAAGTCATTAAAGAAGCATTTTTGGAAAATTAACATGGTTGCTACCTACAACACGAATAGCTACGACCTGTGAAGATATTACAGAAATCCATGTGTGAGGTGATGATGGCAATGCCAAAAAAAGAATATATCTAGGAAGTGTTTTTGAAGAAATCAGTGTGGCTCCGTGAGACCTAGGGTGATTAAAGGAAGACTGAAGTTTTTGAGGTGGAGGGCTGAAGGAGTGTTGCCCTGTTGTCTGAAATAAGAAAGGTAAGAAGGGATACTGCTGGGCGCCTGGGTGGCTCAGTTGGTTAAGCGACTGCCTTCGGCTCAGGTCATGATCCTGGAGTCCCGGGATTGAGTCCCGCATCGGCTCCCTGCTCGGCGGGGAGTCTGCTTCTCCCTCTGACCCTCCCCCGTCTCATGCTCTCTCTCTATCATTCTCTCTCTCTCTCAATAAATAAATAAAAATCTTAAAAAAAAAAAAAAGATGTAGATCATAGAGGTCAGACATGAAGGGAGAGAATGTGGCAGTATAACGTTAGGAGAGACAGAGGCCTTGCCAAAGGCTGAGATCAGTAGAGTCAAATGGCTTCAAAGATCGGAAGAGTAGAATCAAATGAGCTAATGATGAGAGTCTAAAAAACATAGTCATGGGACTAGCAAGAGATCACTAATGTTAGAGCAATTTTAGTAAAATGAGTGGGGGAAGGAACATTATAGAAAAATGTGTGGGTAGTGAGGCCAAGGGAGCAAGTTAAATACATGCCACTTATTCAGTCATTTG